CTATTCTATTAACATTTCTCTATCTGGAGAATGGGGCTGTTTATGTGTTCTCCATTCAGAGGGGCCTCCTGCCTGTCTCTGCCTAGGGCCCCACATTTCCTAAATCCACCCCTGCTCTTAACGCATCATTGTCATCCAGCTCATCCTTCTTCTGCTTCACTTCCTTTTACAGACAGCAGAGGAATAGATGAGGTCTGCAGGTCATGACATCCTGGCTGTTTATTTTTATTCTTTGCAGTGACGGCTCACTCCTTTATAGGAAGAGTTTATTCCCATCTCAGTGTTGGAATCAACATGCGCAGCTAACATTTCCACCGCTCCCACCACATCTCATTATTCAGCATTACTCACCATAACACGCCAGCGGGACTCTTTTCTTTCTGTTATTTTTCATTAACCTGAACTCAGAGATCTCCACGCTGGCCGATCTTCAGCCTCTGGCATCCTGCCCCAAGCTGAAGCGCCTTGATCTCCGTGGAAACCCCATCACTCAGACGACCAACGCCGAGGCGGAGCTGGCCGGGCTGCTGCCCTCCGTCACGGACCTCCTGCTCTGATCTGGTGGCCGTCCCGTCGTTCGCTCGTCTGTTGTTGTTCCGTAGCAGAATGAAAAGCCGTCTTCTCTCTTTTTTCTGATATCTTGAAGTGTGTCGTGCCTCTGTTTGTTGGGAGACTGTCAGTCAGACGCTCTGACAGCCTGATGGTTCACAGCGTTCATCACACACCTGTCTACGTTAAACTGTGTGACTGTGCGGAGGCGGATGCACGTTAACACATGATGCATTTCTTGCTTTGTGTGCTTGTGAGGACGTCTGGTTCCTAATGCATGCAGAGAAGGCGTGAAGTGGACACAGACTGGCGTGCAGCAATGCTGGTTCATACAGGCTGATCAGCATCATGTCGTCATTATTTCTAAAGGTGATCTAAAAACATTCAATGACAAAATACTGTTGCACAGTAGATTGAATAAATCACAGCACACATTGTGTCACTGCCTTCTGCTCAGCTTTTTGTTTGTGCTCTTCTTGTTTTTCAATAATTTTCTGGATGCATCTTAATTTCTGTTGTTTTTCTTTTTTCATTTTGGCCAAAGAATAATAAACTGATCTGAGACTCCCTCAATACCTTTAACCTTGTTGCTTTTTATTTTATACTACAAACAAATAGATTAAACTGGGATTTTATGTAACAGACAAATCAAATTGGTGCTTAAAGGAAAAGTCGCTCATATTCAGAATTCAAACTTCTGAAAGTTCTTTAAATCTGAAATGATTCCATCCTGTTCAATAAATGATCAGTGTTTTTAATTCAGAGTAATTTTCATGTGAATGTGCTTTACTGGAGGCATCCATGTTTGTCAAAGAACACTACTGCCACCTACTGGTTAGTGACATTGTCACGGTGCGGTATCGGCTGTTGATCAAGTCCCAGTGCTGTATCTGGTGTTTGTCACAACGCGCTATTATCCAAGTCATCTTGAAAACATTCTTCTTCCAAATGTTGGCTACATATTACGGGTTTTTTCTCTGGCCAGAAGTTCGATGGCAAATCCTCCCTCTTCAAGTTGGCGATCCAACGACCAACCCGTCCGTGGAGGATCAGGAATCAGAAAGGTGGAATAACTCTTTTTTTCACTTTTACCCGATGTATTCCAGCATCCAGCTGCCATGCACGTGGGCATTGTCAGTTTCACTATAGCTCTGGTGAATTTCAATGGTGAAGTCCTCTGGAAATCTTCAATAATTGTTGTTGATTGCAGATGTGTCTAGTAGTTCCCATTGATTTAGCTTGGAAAGCGGGGAGAATGGCGCTAGGCTTACCGCACCGTGACGTCACTGCTGGAAGATGGCAGGAGGGAGGGGTTACTGTATATGGGGGAAAATGGCCGCTCCCAGACTCAGTGATAGCGATGAAAAGTATTGTTTTTATTTTTTTAACTGATTAAAGCTCACACTGAGCCTGGTTCTGCTGGAGGTTTCTTCCTGTTCAAAGGGAGTTTTTCCTCTCCACTGTCGCTACAAGCATGCTTAGTGTGAGGGATTGCTGAAGAGTCAATGAGTCGATGCAATCAGCTGGTTTTCCTTAGATAGAAAACTTTGAATCAATCTGACTGGATGATCTGGTTGAACTGGATCTATAAAGTGACCTGAGATGACATGATGTGAATTGGAGCTATAGAAATACACTGAATAGATCTGTATAGCTGACAGCTGTTGGTTTTCTTAGTTTATTTTTTAAAGAAAGATATTTTCCTCTCCTGTTTTTCCAAATTTGTATTTATAAGAATTTTCCTTCTTCTCTATTATGAACTAAATGGTTTTGGTCTGTTAAATAAAACACCTTCAAGTTTTCGTTTGTTAAATGATCAAAGAGTGAATCCATTGAGGAGGTTTTGTAGAAATATATAACATAATGTCTTAGTATTAAGCAGGTTTTGATGGATGAATTTAGACGCTGTTTGGCATCAGGTTAAACCGGTGCGTCTGCCGCGATGTGTCATCTAATCTGCACTGATATCACATCACTCTCATTGTTCCCTTCTTTACCTTTTCACTGGGTTGGATTCAATGTTGCAACACATCAAGCCTTTTTTCTGTTTGTCGTAACATTTTTTCTACTGAAATACTTGTGACAAAAAACCCAGAACTGCTCTGGGAGTGTCGTGTTTGAAACAATACGACACGCCTGTTGACTCAACATAGAAACACAACCTTTAAACTACTGATGGTGGAACTGATCGCCAGGTATTGCATCAACTTCAGGTTGGACAAGGATCATTAGATCATTGCATGTTGCTCAGTCACATTTGGATAATCTGAGCATTTCAGCTTAGGGCTGGGTCTAAATATCACTTTATCTGTATTTTCACATGATATGTTTAATGACAGTAGAAACGGTCTGGAGAAATCTATTATTCTGGCTTCATTAGCTAGGAAGTCCCACGTTCCTGTTGGTTCTTGAACAAAAAACTGACATTTGAAGAATTTTAAAGTATTCAGGTCTTTCTGTGAAGAAAATTCCCACAAATGTGAAAAAATGAAAAGGAAAAATGTTTTTAAGATTTGAAATATGTGATTTTTTTTTTCTTCATCTCTTGACATATGTTGTTCAAAAAAACATCTGATTGAGCAAATTTTACTTCCCAGAAATATAATGATAATTTGCTACTTTTAAGGAAAAAGCTGTCATATGTGATGCCTGTATAACTGTATATATCCCATCATGCACCTTCTTCTTCTTCTTTGACTATTTGAGCTGATGGAACGAGTTCATTCCTCCACCCTTAGATTAGTCAAGTCAATCAATCAATCAGGTGGGATATACAGTATATAAAATGCCGACTAAAGATGACAATACAATGTTTTTACAGGACACCGTTAAAAGTAATAGATAATAAACACCCCTTAATTAAGAAACAAATGTACATGGAAATATAAATTTGACATAAAGTGAAGCTTTTGCTGAAGCTTCTATGAGCTGATCAGCAGAGATTTCCTCATCCAGGGTCTGAGTTCATGACCTAACATCCTGAGCTATCGCTATAGCTATGCTGCTATAGGCTAAAGGCGGATTTATACTTTGAAACCAGGTGGTCTGTGTCACAGTTAACACTCTGCTGCTCCTCTCCAAAACTGTAGCTGACCGCAGACAGCAGGCCTCTGATTGGTCAGATCTACATCGCTCTACTCTATGCGTATTTCCTGTTTGGTTCCTTACCGGCTTGTTTTGTTTGTCTGACCGCCATTGAGGAAAACGACTGGTGAAGATGGAGCAGCTAGAAGAGCGAGGTGAGAACGCTGGGACCCTTTTTCCACCTGGATCCCCGCTCTTTTTGGCCCTCATGTCCCTCCGTTGACGCACAAACTTGCCCCAACTTCCTCACTGCCTCACCCGTATCTAGACCCACAGCTAGTTCCTGATTGGCCCTCTGGAGTTGTGGCGTGGAATAACATAGCGCAGACCACGCTTCAATATTGGGCATAAATCAAAAATATCTGCGACGCACTGCTGCAGGAGGAGAACCAGACCATTAGACTGCTGGAGGACATAGGGACCCCTTTTTCATCATTCTGCTTCATTCTATCTCTATTCTCCCACTCTGCAGAATCTGTTAGTT